AAAAAAAAAAAAAAAAAAAAAAAAAAAGGCGAAGCTGTTTTACTGCCTATTCCTAGCCTGGAAAGCTCTTTTCCTATTTCTTTACATGGCTTGCTTACTCTTTCATATCATAGCTCTGCTCTCAAAAACCATCCGTATGCCCATCACTATCCTTTCACCTAGTTGTTCTTCATATGCACTTATACTTCCATGAATCTATCCAATTTATCTTTTATGGTTTATCTCTGATACAATGTAAGTTTTGAAGGTGGGAGCCTTGTCTGTTCAGTGCTGGTTTTCTAGGGCCTAGAATAAAATCAGGCAAGATGTGTATTCATGAATGATGAATGAAGCCTCACACAAGAGCTTATCTTTGTCTTTATTTAGCTACAGTATTTAAATTTAAGAAGGCATTAAAGCAAGAGCAATTCTAAACGTGGCTTTATGATACAAAGTTTAAGTACTGCATTATTGGGCACAATTTTTTTTCTCAAGAAATTAACAGAAATTGATAATGATCATTGTAATGGTCAGTCCTATCCACCAGTCTAAATAAATGTTTGAAATTTTTCTTGTACTGCACAGAAATGTGTAGTTTTTGCTTCATAGGGATAGAAGAGTTGAAATAGCAGCCATGACTATTGAGACACCATGAAACCAAAGTTTAAAGATGTTAAACTCAAATCTTTTTAATTGTTCTTACAAACATAGAAAATTAACAGTACATAATTTTTATAATTCCCCCATCTCAGCCAGGCATAGCATATCAGATAATAAGGCAGTCTGAAGGAAGTAAGTGTAAAATTATACTTTCTCTCTTGGAGCTTACAATTCAACAGAGAAAGACTTACTTGTAGCCACTGTAGCTAGAGGTCATTAAGGAATATTTTGTGGAGACAGTGAAAACGAAGCTAACAAATATATTTTAATGACAAAAATGAGGACATTCTAAGAACTAAAGGTACAAAAAAGTGAAAGTACAAAAGTTGTAAGGAAAGCAAGTACCCTTCTTAATCTACAGACCATGTATAGGCTTCAAGGGAACTGAAAAACGAATGGGATCTGTTGGTAACTTGTGTGTGTACCCTTTTCTAGAGAGAGGGTAAACAGTATTCACATTTTCAAAGGAGTCAACATTGCAAAAGAGATTTTTTAAGGTATGTTGTAAGTCCTTGGACAATCAACTTCAAAAGGTTGGGTTGAGAATAAAGAACTTCTAGATCACACCATGTGTAGAATTTGACCCATACTTGAGGCTTTTGTACAGAGAATGGGTAAATAGGGTAAATTCAATATATGGTGATAAGTTACATATGAAAGGTCAAGAAAAACATTGAGGATGAAATCCAGCTTCTGATTTGGGACAGTGAGTGCAGCTAGTTACAGGCTTGGTGGAAGATGAATTAAGTTTGGAGCATTCAGACAGAGAGAAATGGACAACTGAAAATACAAATTTGCAGATACAGCTGGGAGTCAGTAATGCTAGTTTTATCTGAAGGAGTTAAGAAGATCCAACCATTAATTATAAACAATGGAGAAACTCAATAGTAGAAACATCAATATTTAAGGGGGAAGAGTAATAAAGAGAAATGATCAAGAGAGGTTGGAATATCTTGGTATCCAGCTCAAGAAAGGAGTTGGTAGGTCAAGCACACCCCACCAGAAATTAGGTGAAAGTAATGATAAGAAATGCCAGCTTGTTAACGTTTGAGAGAGGTGAAAAAGTGTAGACAGTGTAGGCCCTTGGTAAGAGTCATACCAAGATTTCATATGTAGTAGATTCTTAACAGTTTTTAAATGTTAGCATATCATAAAGTTTAAGGGGTTTCATGGACACTTGGATGCAAGTTTAGTGATCTGTAAAATCCTCAGGGCTGCATAATGTAACAGTGACTTCCAATCTATATGATTTATAGATTAATGATGAAATATAATACCTCTTAGTAACTACTTGCTGAGCTCAGATTTATACTATTATAAGAAATAAACTAGTTATGGTTATCACCCGAGAGATTCCAATTTCTGAAAATGATGGTACACTGGGGATTATTAGTGTGGCTGACAAATGTATTATTGGAATGAAAAGAATTTTATGGTCCACAGAGACACCCATCATAGCCAAGTAAGAGCCACTAAATTTCATTTGGAAGGCAAAGGTGGCTCAACTTTTTTTCCATGGCAAATTGCCCTGACCCCGGTCAGAAGTTCTCAGAAAACTCCCCTTTTCATGGCTTCCACAATGCCCCTTCATCTTATTTTGTCTTCCCTACCCGCCTCCCCCTCCACCGATCTCAACTTTTCTTTAAAAAAATCAAAATGAAAACAAAATAGTGCGAGATACACACCATTTTCTGAGATACTGACTGTAAGTAAAAAATCATGCCTCAGAATTTTGTAAAGATCAAATTGAGGAAAAGAACTATATTGCTCTTTATCACCCTTTCTAAGATAAAACCATTCTTTTTAGAACTTACAGGTTGAGATATAAGTCAAGTAGTAATTTCAGAGCTCAATAATAGGACATTATTAGCAGTTAAGAAATGTATTTGATTGTTACCTACCCAACAATGACCATATAGTGGGTAAGAGGATAATTTTAAAATGTCCTTAAATATGTACATATATTCTACTAATTAACAAATCTAGAGAAGCATTTATTCACTAATAAATTTTATTTGTTTTCTCTGATTGAGTTAAAATCTTTTCACCTTGCCTGATTTTTTTTTCTTCCTGCAGCTAAGCTAGAAATTTATAGTTTTTCTCCTAAAAAAAATGCAATGACGCTCTTTCTTACAAATTGCCCTCCCGGATTTTCTTGTCAGCTTGCTTCAAGAAAATCCACGTATTCAATATACTTGCTCGCAGTTTGGCCCACACCAAATGGTTATTTAATCCAAATATCTGAGCAGCAAACTGAGCTGATCCTTCTGGAGAAAGTATGGTTGAACAGCCAAGACCTATTGGATCAGAAAGGAAAAGAGAGAACAGTGAGCTTTCAATTGTTACTGAAAATACTACTTTCCATCTATCACTCTTCTTTCTGAATCCACTGGCAAAGAAATTTACCTTTTTCAAAGTTCTTTTCACATACACAATCCCTTTAAATCCCTAGTGAAAGATAATAGAAATAAAACAAGGGACGAGTGGGTAGAAGCAGCTGTTCTTAGACAAACTTGAGGTAGGTTAATTGTTTTGCTAATATTTTAGCTACCCCTTTTGTTTTTACACTCTATTCTAACATTTTTAGCAGTAAAAAGAGTCAAAAATAAAGAATAATCTTAATAAATATCAGGTTATAAATAAACTCAATAGCAATAAGATCTGAAAGACCTCAGAATAAAAAAAAGTAACTTCTTTTGTGCAAGTAGAGTTTCTTAAAGTGGTAATTATGTTTGCCACTGAAGTCAAGGAATAGCTAGCGTATCGATCCAAACACTCCCCTTTCCCAATATTCTTGGAATTCATCAGGCTCTTTGACTCTATACTATCCCCAATAGGAACAGATTACATACAAATCACAAGGTTAATTTATTAATTTGTAGTAATAATATATGTGACATCAATCACTTGTTACTTTTAGTGTCATCCCAAAGGTGACACTAAAGATGGCAATGCTAATGTCACCATAAGAAACATCCCAAACCTGTAGAGAATTTTTATGAGTTTATTTGAGCCAAACTGATGACAACTGCTGGGAAGCAAAATCTCAATGGATTTGGAAAATGCTCTTACCACTTACTTTATACGTCAGAATCAAAGGGGAAGACGTAAGGGGGTTCCATGAAACCCACTGGTGGTAGATTAGGGAGGAGGGAGAGAAAGCAAAGCAGGGAAATCTCTAAGACTGGATAAAAAGTAAAACGGGTAGACACACGCTTCTTTCACATTGGTGGGTATAGGATAGTTAACATTTACAGCACATAGAGATGCTACGTGGGAGAACACGTTAACAATGAAGGGTTCTGTGGTCTCATGTTCTGGTGGAAAATTGTACCCTGAGGGGTCTGGAAAAGGGGATTACTCTGACATAGATGCAAAAAGACAATAGACAGGATCAGTTAAGGTAAAGATTGGCCTTTGTCAAGAAAGACACCAGCCTAAGACATGGCTACCTGCCATGACTCGCTTTTAGTTAGGAAATTTTCATTTCAGACTATCCTATGTGGTTACTTTAGGTCTCTGAGTTTGTAAGGCCTGTCAAGCAGGCCTCCCCAGAACTTGTCAGGTTTAGTATTTGGCCCCGTTTTTGTCCACAATAACTAGCAGCTACTTTATGTGAGGATTAAATGAGTTGATACAGAGAAAGTGCTTGGAGCAATGCTGGCACACAGTAAGGACTCAATGAATGTCAACTGTTAGCAGTAGTATACTAGGTAGAGTGTTTCACTCTAGTAACTGAAATACCTGCACCTACACCCAGGACTCCCTTTCTGATATCAAGAAAGCTTAATTCACAAAAATTAGGTTATCTAGTGAGCATGCCATAAGAAAAAGAGAAATGGAGTTTGCAGAATCTTACCCAGGCCACTGTAATACTGTTCCTCAAAAGGTTATCCCCTCAATTCTAGTGATCAGAACATACAAATCTTCGATTCCCTGTTTCTCCTTGGACAATACTAAGTAAAATTTGCCTAATTTTTGCTCATCACATTCCCATGGATAGCTTTTTCTAAGCTCCATGGAAAATACCTATGCTACTCCTCTAGTATAGATTTGGTTACAGCTTTATAGCTATAGATTTTTGAGAAGTTGATATAATCAGATGTCTAATTAAAGACCTAGTTAAAGATGGCTTAATCACAAGCTGTCTCCGAAATTGTGTAAAAAGCAGTGAAGGGATTAAAGAAATATAAACATAGCTGAAAGGCAAAGGGAGGGGCCACTACTTAGCAAACCAAGAAGATTAATCCTAAAGTGGAAGCAGGGAAAGATGAGAAGCAGCCTGACTGACCTTACAGAACCCACTTAAAGGGTGAGGAATTAGTGGCAAAGGACACATTTGAAGGGAGGAGTGGGGGTGAAAATGGGGCTAAGAAAAATGAAAGTCAAGAAGCAGTTTGGCCCTCAAATCCCCTTCCCCACTCTGTATACCTAAGCAATTACCCCTTCTGGGTCAGGGCAGTTTTAAATTTTTAAGAAGGCAAAACACTTTTCCAGACTTCTGTGGAGTGGAGGACACCAGGCACAGTTCAGACAAGGAATGCCTTAGTGAAAATGGGATTAAATTTACAGACACATATTAAGAACCCCCAGCTTCCTGAATGCTGGCAACCAGGCTTCCTCCTACAGGTAGGAGACTGAGACTAGAAAGGTACTCTGGTCAACACGAGAAAAGATAGACATTGATGTGAGAGGTTATTCAAAGAACAGCCCTACCAAATCACCCCACAGTGGAGCCGACTTTTGGAAAGCCCCACCCACTTGCACAGGGCCTCCAACTGGCTTGTTACAGCACCCCACTCTTAAATATAGCCAAGAAAAGGAGCCAATGTGAAAGAAAAAATAATAATCTCACATAAAAGGTGTTACTGCAAAGGTTAAACAAAAAAAGGATGTTTGGGGGACAAGGGGAGACCAGAGAACAAAGAAGAGCTCTGGGAAATTCAAAATACCTTACCCAAAATGAAAAACTCAATAGAAAGGTTAGAATGTAAAGCTGAGAAAATGCTCCAGAAAGTACAGCAACAACAGAAAGAAAATAGAACAGTTATCAAGAAGGTCCAAATCTGAATAATAAATTAAAAAATGAGAGAAAATGGAAATGAAATTATTAAGTAATTCAAAAAAATTTCCCAGGACTAAAGAATCACATTTCTAGATTAAAAGCCCTCACTAAAAGCCTGGATCATGAAAACAGACCAAGACATCTCTTTGTGAAATTTAAGAATGAGCAGACAAAAGATCCTACAAGATTCCCGAAAAAAAATTCATAAACAAATGAGAAGGTTGGAAAAACTTGAACACAAACTGGAAATTAGATGATTTTAAGAAATTACGATTAATTTTTCTTAGGTGTCATATATGGTATCATGACTATGATTTAAAAACTAGAGTCATTACCACTTAGAGAGGCATATTTAAATGTTTACGTATAAAATGCTATAATGTCTAAGATATGCTTTAAAATAATCCGGAAGAGGGCAGATGCAACAAGATGTTAAATGCTGAAGCTGGGTAATGGGTACATGAGATTTTATTACGTTATTCTCTCTATTACTGTGCATATTTAAACTTTTTAATAAAGAATTTTTAAAAATTCAATATATCTTACCACTGGGTAGTCGAAGAGAAGACCACACATCCTGAGCTCCCCAGTCTGCAGTGAGGGGAGGACAGCTGATAACTGGATATGCAGTGTTACCAGACATCACTGGTCCTAAACCATTGCTTCTGCCTGCCACTGCCACAAATACTGTAGGAATGCCATCCCCTAGGGAAATCACAAGTTTACAATTACGCTAAATATTCAAATAGTACCCAAATATTTAAAACCCTTCAATATATTTTCTACCATATCAATAAAACATTTCATTCTCTGATAAATTTATAATCACTCCTTGCATTTTTCTGGAGAAAATACTGTTTTTTTAAAAAATTTATCTTTATTGTTAAAAGTATTACAGATGTTCCTTTTTTCCCTTCACCCTGCACCCTTTCCCCCCAGGACTTCACCATACTATTGTCCATGGGTTATGCACATGTTTTTAGGTTAATCTCTCCCCACCCACCTCTGCCTTCCCTCTGAGATTCATGTCTGTTCCACGCTTCTCTGTTTCTGGATCTATTTTGTTCATTGGTTTATTTTGTTCATTAGATTCCACATATGAGTAAGATCATGTGACACTTGTCTTTCTCTGATTGGCTTATTTCACTTAGGATAATACCCTCCAGGTCTCACCATGCTGTCTCAAAGGGTAAGGGATCCTTCTTTTTAAAAGCTGCATAGTATTCCATGGTGTAAATGTCCAAAAAGATGTGTGATATGACTTCAATTTTCTTGAACTTGTATAGACTTGTCTTGTGTCCTAACATCTGGTCTATCTTTGAGAATGTCCCATGTACACTTCAAGAGAATGCTTATTCTGCAACTTTGGGGTAAATGGTCTATATCAAATCCATCTGATCTAGTGTGTCATTTAGAATCAATGTTTCTTCGTTGGTTTTTTGTCTGGAAGTTCTAGCCAGTAAAGTCAGTAGGGTGTTAAAGTCCCCTACTGTGACTCTGTGACTGTATTGCTATTGATCACTCCCTTAAAGTCCTCCAGAAGTTTGTGGGTTTTTTTTAAGTCTGTGTGAGTCTTCTGTTCTGAGGTGGATCTCTTGTAGACGACATACATTTGGGTCTTGTTTTCCTATCCATTCAGCTACCCTGTGTCCTTTAATTGGAGCATTCTCCATCTATTTTGAATGATAGCCTTGTGGACATAGTCGTCTTGGTTTCAGATCTCTGCTTTTCATTACCTTGAATACTTCATGCCATTCCCTTCTGGCTTGTAGAGTTTCTGATGAGAAATCAGCTGACAGCCTTATGGGAGTTCCTTTCTAGGTAACAGACTGCTTTTCTCTTGCTGCCTTTAAGATTCATCTTGAATTTTAGGCATTTTAATTATGATGTGTCCAGGGGTGGGACTCTCTGTGCCTCCTGAACTTGTGACTTTTTCCTTGACCAGGTTAGGGAAGTTTTCGACCATTACTTCTTCAAACGGGTTTTCTAACCCTTGCTTAACTTTCTACATCTTCTGGCACTATGATGCGAATATTGTTACGTTTCATGTTGTCCCACAGCTCCCTTAAACTGTCCTCCTGTTTTTTCTTTTGGGTTCTCTGATTGATTTTTTCCTACCCTGTCTTCTAATTCGCTGATCCAATCCTCAGCTTCCACTAATCTGCTGTTTATTCCTTCCAGTGCTTTTGTTTCTAATATGTCATTCTTAATTTCCTCCATAGTTTACATTTCTTTTCTCATGCTGTTGAGCATCCTTATGATCAGTATTCTGAACTTAATACCTGATAGATAACTTACCTCTATTTCATTTAGCTCTTCTTCTGGAGAATTATTTTGTTGTTTCATTTGGGGCTTGTTTTTTGTCTCCCCATTTTGGCTGCCTCTTTGGATTTGTTTCTATGTATTAGGTAGCTCTGCTAGGACTCCCAGTCTTTTGGATGGTCTCTGGTGCAGGCCAATGTCAGATACCACTTGTGACTGGCCTTGAGTACCCTGTTTGAAGTTTTCCACACTCCACAGCTTGTGGTTTCCTCTGCTGGGGCTGGGTGTGTTTGGACAGGACCAAGATGTGCACCAAGGTCTGTTTTCTCAAGCCCTGGGTCCAGAAGCAAATTAGGCAAAGACTCAAAGCACCCAGAGGCTGATTGTTATTCTTTCTCTTAATGAGTCTCAGCCTGTTCCTAGAGTTCTGGCTTTTATTACCTCATCAAAGGATTCTGAGACCTTCCCCTCCCCCCTAAAGAAAACTTCACTTCTGTAGCAACAACTGTGGGAAAGATTACTCAATAAATATTTTTTCCAGTTGAAAAACATTTGGTTCTCTCTCCAGGGCTCCATTATTACAGATCCTTGCTATCTCATCAAGACATTTCTTTTATACACTAAATTCTGAAAGTATTGCTTAATTTCATGTTTGACTGCCTCCCAGGAAAAGCTGGTCATTAAAGATACTTGAGGATCTGCTGCTTCAACCTCAGACCTTCTGTAACTGACAGGGGCCCTGTTTTCTGTTGGAGCATATAAGAAATAAATGCTTGAGGGGCTTATTAGGTAAAGACTAATTCTAATTCTAGTCTTTATCTTCCTTCTGTACTTGAATTGTCAAATCATTCTAATTCATTCTTTTATAAGTTCCTAGAACACCTTAAACTCTTTGGAGGCTGAATATCAGGAAAGCCTAGAATATCAGATTTTTTCCCCCTTGGAACTGTGGTAAAGCTCTTTTTCAGCACTTTTAGTTTAAACATAAAATTCTCTGGCAGAATCAGGAGAACATCCTAAAATGCTCTAGTTATTTGAGGTTTACCTTCATACTCAGCTTTAATCCTCAGAGTTTCATCTGGTCCTTTATGGGCAGAGGTTACCCGAAGTTCACATGGAATGCCAAAATTTCCACAAGCCTTCTTGATTTTTTCACAGTGACCAAGATCAGAAGTTGAGCCCATCAATACTACAACCCTGCACTGACCTTCTGGTTTCAGAAGCAACTAGAAAAGAAATACATGGGTATTCAAAAGAAGTTAAGGTCAAAAATGGATCAATATTGGAATGAGTTTATAGAGCTACACTTTATACTAAAATTGTATCTGGAGAGAATATTTTCTTTCTTAATAGATTAAATTTAAGATAAACAGAACAAAATGATAAGAGAATTTATTTTTCAAAATAACCTACATACAAAGAAGAGTTCTTCATAATTAAAACCAAGAGAGCATGATTTTTAATCAAACTGTTTATTATTATAATAAGCAAGGGATAGTCAACTTCTAATTAACATCCAGGAAGCTATAAATATATTTTATCCTAAGATTTTTAGTACATTTTGTTTAATGGAGGTTTTACGGCATAATCAGCCAAAATACTGAGGTTGTGTTATAAATCTTTGTTAGTCACATGGAACTCAAATGCGTATTCCCATGGAGATGATGTTCTAAAAGATAGTTATGAACCTTGGATAACCACAAACCCTATTCAATTCCCATGGAATTATAGTAATCATACCATAAATCTTTTTTTTTTCATACCATAAATCTTAAAGTGATATTTTAATGTCACATGGAGCTCCAATTCTGAACTTGGCTAATGGAACCCATCCTAACAGAACTCTGAGCAGCACTGGAGAGGTAGGTAGTAAATGCAAACTTTCCGTTGCAAGGGCTGGGAGGAAACAAAGATAGCAGGTTTCCTCAATAGGATTTGGAAAGAGTATAATGGCAAACTTAACAGCAGGGATCCAGTATGCCAAGGATAATAGTTCAGCTGGTACATTTCTTAAAGGTGCTCCTTTCTTTAAAATCACTGGAAAAAAGAAAAGCACTGCACTCTTTTTGTTTTCCCTTTTAAAAAAAATAAATATTTTTATTTGATTTGAGAGAGAGAGCGAGAGAGAGAGAGAAACATTGATGTGAGAAACATCAATTGGTTTCCTCCAGTACATGCCCCAGGCCGGGAATGGAACCCAAGACCCTTTGGTGCACAGGATGAAGCTCCAATCAACTGAGCCACACAGGCCAGGGCTGTCTTCCTTTTTGAAGCAAGAAGTTCTTGGAGAAAAACACAAAATATAGTGTGGATTTACTACAAAAGGCTTACCTCTACTCTTTCAGCAACCCACTCAAAATTTTTCTTTACCATCTGGAGCCCTTCAGGAGTTACTTCCTTGAGGTCACGATATGACTAGAAATAAGAAAGAAAGTTGAGGCTGCAAGTATTCTAATCAGTAACATCCTTGCTATCTGAAATTATTTGGTTTCTGAGTTTTGGGTACAGATTATGAAGAGTTCGCCTAGCAAAGGATATATCTGAAAATGTATCTGATTCTACAAATAAATTTCCTGAATTAGACTAAAGAAAGTTTAGTGAAGTACACTTATATATTCATTTGTGGATAAGTGCTTTCTACACTAGAAACTACAATTAACTGCCATGATAATTCTCATATATATTAAGTATAGGGAGAATCTTGCCCTATTTTTTTCATAGGAACGAACAGAAATAGAACCTAGTAAGATCCAGAAGACTTGGGATAGAAAACTGCCACTTATCACTATAATTGTGAAGATATCTATCCTTTCAGAATCTTAGTTTTCAATTAGTCAGTCAAGGATAATACTTGCTATGTGAGTCTATTAAAATAATGAGAAATCTGCACTGTAAATGTAAAGTATTATTCCTATTTTTTTTCAGGATACAGGAAATATGAGAGATACTTATCCTTAAAAATAAATAGCAATCAACACCAGGTTTATATCATAATAAGTAATAATTGCCTTTTCTTTCCTCCCATTTTCCCTTTCTTCTCTACTCGAGTCTGATCTTGCAAAGGATAAAAAAACAACAGCCCTGAAGTATAGCCTACCTGTTTGTCTTTCTGTTGGCTTCGATCTCCTGATGGCCAGAGTCTCCAGGAATCATTATCAATAACATCAGCAAGAACAATTTCTTTGGTGGTGACATCAACACCAAATTCAATCTAGAAACAGATCACCAAAGAACAAATTTTTTAAAACTATACTACTAAAGACATTTCTCAGTTGTAATTTTTTTATTTTCAAATCTCCATTTTATTTGTACCTTCATATCAACCAGTGTACACTCCTGGGGCAACCAGGATTTCTCCAAGATTTCAAAAATAGCCTGCGTAGCATGACTCATGATATCCACTTCAGTCTGGCCTATAACAAGTCCAGCAAAGCAAAATTTTGCAGCAATGAGCTGTTCCTCAGACCATTGTGGATCATTATTGGCATCATCCTGAAAATTCAGAACAGGACTACAATTAATTTAAGTATAAGATTTTTTAACTTTTCTAATAATCTGAAGTCCTTTTTCCCTTGAGCATGAATTCCTCAGAAATATTTATTTCCTCTAAAGATTTAATTTTTATTTAAAATACCCTTTAATTCACAGCAAATATTTTTAATTGGTCTACTTTCAATAGCTATTTTAAAATTTAAAATATTTGGGTGAATAAGTTATTCTAGTTATAAAGTATTGAAAGAATTTTCCTTCTCTCTATAAACTAATTTAACCCAAGTTTGGAAAGCAAAAAGCAGTTTCAATAAACAACTGCTTATAAGAGACATTGATAATAGTTTTTCTGTATTAGAATATAAAAAGATCCCTCATATTAGCCTTTACTTCACTCTTCAACAGTAAATTAAAAATTTTTTTGAATTGTTACTTTTCTTCCTAGTAACTGCTAATTTTAATTCATTTTGTTAGTCACTTTGGTAGAGTAAGATAAACAGATTTTCATAGGTATTTCCTTTTTAAAAACTGAATTGTGATTGCTAATGGAAGTATACATTATCGATGTTTCTGGAATGACAACTGCAATATAAAAAGTTTTAATGTTTATATTTTTGACTTGGCTTTAAGTTTGTAGCTATGTTATAGTAAGACAAATGCATAAATACCTTAAAAAACATCTCCACTTTAGGAGGGTAAAACTTGTATCCTTCCTTGACACCAGGATTTCTTTTGAGAAAAGAACCAGTTGCTATTCTTCTACAAACCCATTCAATTGGAATCATTTCACACTTAGGTGCAATGAAAGCTGTCTCCCCACATTTTCTGGTGAAAGCAGTTTTGATGCCTATATATTAACAATAAAATGCCATAAAAAAACACATTACAATTATATTTAAAGAAGATCTGAGGCATAATAAAACTCTAACCTTTGCAAAAAACAAACAAAACCCTTATCTAGCTAAATACATTACCCTTAAATGGCACTATCAAAAATAAATGTATTTTAAAAAGTGGAAATAGAAAAATAGGGCTTTCTACTGCTTATTAAAATACTCAGATCTATTTCACTTACTATCATATGGCAAAATATACACTGGATTAGACGACCTGAGTCCCAATGTCTTTACCATTCATTAATTTATTCATTCAAAATATACTTACTGAGTACCTCCTCTGCCAAAGAGTACCTGACTCTGCACAAGGCACGAAACTTATCTAAGTGGCACTAAATTATCTCTAAATCAGATTCAGTTACAGGATTCTCATATTCTATGGTCCATTATTATACAGGCCTTATAAAATATCAACCTACTTATCACAATCAGATATAACCTTAAATTTTCGATAGCTTTTTCTCTCTTAATATTAGAAGCAAATAATCCTTGAACAACCAACAAGGAGCAGTGGGAACATGACCAATTTGGCCAAGAGCAAATAAAGTATTTGTCCTTCCTCTCCCTACTCTCTTAATCAAATTGTACGGGAGCCCGGCCCGCATGGCTCAGTGGTTGAGTGTCAACCCATGAATCAGGAGGTCACGGTTGATTCCCAGTCAGGGTATATGCCAGGGTTTCAGGCTCAATTCCCAGTGGAGGGGCATGCAGAAGGCAGCTGATCAATGACTCTCTTTCATCACTGATGTTTCTGTATCTCTCTCCCTTCCTCTCTCTGAAATCAATAAAAACATCTTTAAAAAAATTATCGGAAAACTAAGATAAAGAGCTGACTTGTGATGTTTAGAATGGAAGCTATTTTATGTGGCGGCCTTGGAAAATAACCTCTAAAAACAGTTACAGTTTATCATAAACCATATGATCCTGCATTCCACTTCTAGGTATTCCAGGTACTATTATAGCCTGAAGAAGAGCATTATGTTAAACTCATGCAGGTGTTTTAATTCCCATTCTACAGTATTACTTTATACTGTGATATAATAACACTTCTAGGAGAAGCTGTACTGAAAAGAATTGAAAGCAAGGACTCAAACAGGTATTTGTACACCCAAGTTCACAACAGCATAATTCATAGTAGCCGAAAGGGAGAAACAGTCCAAGTGTCCATCAACAGAAGAATGGGTAGACAAAATGTAGTATATACATTCAATGGGTTCAGTCATAAAAAGGAATGAAATTCTAATACATGCTACAACATGCATTAAACTTGAAAACATTATGCTAAGTGAAATAAAGAACATTATATAATTCATCCCACTTACATAAGGTACCTAAAATTGGCATTCATAGACAAAATGTAGAACAGAGGATACCAGGAGCTAGGGAGAAGGGGCAATGGAGAATCACTATTTAATGGGTCAGGGTTTCTGTCTGGAACAATGAAAGTTATGGAAATGGATAGTGGTGGTGACTGTATAGCACTGTGAATGTACTTACTGCCAAGAACTATACATTTAAACATAGTTAAAACAATAAATTTTATGCATGTATATTTTACAAATTAATTTAAAATATCAAGACCTAAGTTATGTCAGGCATTGTCAATTCATTTCCTTTTTGTTTAACCCTTATAACACCTGATAAGGTAGATAGTACGATCATCCAACAAAGCAGATAAGGAGACTGAGGCGCAGTAGTTATGTCAGCTAGCAGTAGGTATAGCAAGGTTTCCAATCCACATTGAACTCTGTGGGCTGCCTGTCTAACCACTATACATACTGCCTGTCCCAAAAGCGTTATATCACAATACAAAGTAATATTAAAGTGTTAACGTGAATTAAACCATCTCCTGGAAACCTGCATGGGCTTAACATGATGTTGTTCATCTCAAAGCTGCAATGTTAGTACCTCCATTTCCAATCTAAGCCTCTAAGATCAATTTATTCTTATCAGGAAAGGATTGGAGATCTTTGATCGTATGTATGTATCCATATATGAAGGGAACCTACATTTGTGAAATCCCTGCATTGTTCTGAGTGTTTTACACGTTATTTCATTTAACCAAACATAAAATTTCTGAGGTAGGTATTATTATTTACATTTTATAGTGAAAGCTGCAGAGGCTTAAAGAAATTAAGTAAATTGACAAGCTAGGTTATGCTGCCAGTGAGTAATGATGCCTGCTGTTCTAAAACCTATACTGCTTTCTCTGCATTCCCTTTGGGTTTGACCAGTAAAATTCAATGGAAACAGAGTAAATAAATTGTGGTATGCTCATAAACAGAACTCTGAGAAAGAATGTAAGTAAAAAGGTCATTTTAACCTTTAAAGAATGGGCTCATGGGCAGGAGATTGACATTAATCTTAAGGCGATTAACTACTTGCCTGGCTGCCTAGCTTTAAGAGCTCTTCTTTTCTAGACCTGTTTATTAGTCATATTTGCTCATTTGTCTAACAAGCTTGACAGACTAGTATCCAAATCTATTGTTTAGATATAAACAAGTTACTTTTACCCAGAGGAACTCTCCCCACTAGCACACATCTAGGGGGCCAAAAGCACAGAATCAACTTATGGTAATCATCTCGTAAAGAAAAAAACTGCTTCTAAAAAAGACTGATTCAGTTTAAATGATATGATTCCTTCTAACACACATGTTAATCATTAAAGCAGATTTCATGACTACATACGATGAGAAAAACAACTCTCCCCATTTGTCTGTTATCTACAAAATTCAAAGCCATCAAGATTACTAAGAAAACGAAAATGTTACTTCTTACTCTGAATTATAATCGCCGTGTATGACAGCAAATAGCCCACATATTCCTGGGGCCATCCATGTATTAAGGCCGTGAAGTTCCCCATCTGTGCCCCATTTGGCAACTGCAGGATTGTTATTCATATCACTACTCTCACACCTAAATGTAATTACAGTGAGTTTCTGTAAGGGACCTGAAAGTTAAAGGTTAAATTTTGATTTTTAAATATTGAGACCAAATCCACAAATCTTATAACTCAGGTACAACACGTACTATTATTTCCATGGAAAACCAGTACTACCTATTCCTATTATGTGTTCAGTATTTTATAGTTTGTTCATGAGTGACAATAAGAAAACTAGAATCCTGATTTACTGATTCTCATTCTGGTGCTCTTCCCATCCTAATTTCTAGAAATACCTTAATTTGGAACATAACCCTGGTTGTAAAGAAAGCAATTTTAAATAGACCACTGGTGGTAAACTAGACACAGCATTTATTCAACTATTAGCAAGTAAAAATTACATAAGGCTTAACAGAACTCCCAATCTGTCCTCTAAAACTAATTTAAGAATTTTTTTAAAAACCTGGATTTTTTTCTTAGTTTTACAAGACATAAAGCCTAGAAAATACCTTTTGACATTTCCTGTGGGTCAAGTAAATTTTAGCTATGTTAAATACAATAGTTTAAAGAGAATTGTTAGAATACTTCACTTAGGGTGATCAACTTTCCTAGTTACCTCAGATGTGGGATTTTCAGTCAAAACTAAGAGACACCCTAAACAATTTGGATCACCCTAATTCACTTGTCCTTAAGCCCCAGAAAGTATACTGAATAGTGCCTTACTGAATAAGCAAAAACCTTGGGCTGTACTATCTTCCATTACTTTAAAGTATATATATGATAGCACAGCTATGTACAATTACCATAGGTACACAGAAACTTATTAACAATTTACAGTTTTAAGTAACTTTTTAAAATTTTAATGTGTACCGGAGAAGGAAATAACTTTGGAGGTTAAAAATGGGTGAATTATCTGAACTGCAAAAGAAATCTAAAATTGGTTTGATGCTTTCTAGAAATCTCAGTCATTGGGAGACCACCAATCAAGGTAGCCTTAAAATAAAAATGTTGGATTGTACTACTTAGGAACTGTGGGAGGTCCTTTAAATTTACAGCAATATACTTTGAATGCACAGAGGGATTTATGATGTGATGACAATTTAGGTTGGCAATTAAACATTTTTTTCACTTAAAAATGTGAATTGGGCCTTGGCTGGTGTGGTTCAGTGGTTGAAGCCTTGGCCCGAGAACCAAAGGGTTGCGGGTTCAATTCCCAGCCCTGGTTAGAGCACGTGTGGGAGGCAATCAACCCATGTGTCTCTCCCACATCAATATTTCTCTGTGTCTCCCTCTCTTCCCTTCCTTTCCTCCCTTCCACTCTCTCTAAAAATCAATGGAAAAAGTGTCCTTGGCTGAGGATTAACAACAACAAAAAAAGTCAAATGGTACTTTGAAGAGGCAAAGCTATCAAGAACGCATTCTGTCCTGACAGAATGCATGTAACCTGAATTACTTCATTTTGTGGAAGGCAGGTATGCCTATGTTAACTGGAAACAAAAGTATTTAATTCCCTTTTGGATTTAAGAAAGATTTTTGCTTACTGGAAGCTCTAAATAAAGAAACGGCAACTGGGAAAAGTGCAAATAAAAGTAGGCAAAGTTATTAAATTATAAAATTAGAACTGAAATAAAGAACAAAGCTTTTATTTTATAGATAAGGAAGCAGGGGCTTCAAAGGTTGAAGGATCCAAGACAATGAGGCAACTGGAGGGAAAGCTCAAATCTTTTACTAGCTGAGATTTCATACACTACAGACCAATAAACTATTGGCTGAAACCCTGCAGAAAAATCCATTATTTTAATTCCCCTTCCTTCACTCCAAATGCACTCTATAGAATGTTCTGATCTTGTTTTTATCTTTCTAATAGATTTCTCTATTGGAAATAGTCTCCAGTTTTGGAGGAGGTAATCCTGAAGATATCCGATCTAGTCCTAATCCCTCACTTGGGGAATGGCAGGATGAGGTGTGGTTAGTCTTCAAACGCTTTTCAGAGCTTTCAAGTGGAAAAATTTTAAATTTTGTATTATCTCCAAGGAGGTGGAACAAAGAATAATTGTGTAGAATTATACGGACTAAATTTCAATTCATCAATTAGAGCTGCCTAACATCAGAATTTGCTTCCTTTATAGGTAAGTCTCTCTTAGGAAGATGTTCTAGAAGTTGCAGGGAAGATATATGTGCCAGACAAAAACTTGTTAAGATTCCTTTTAACTAATTAAATATTACTACGTACTAATTCCAAACCAATAAAGTGTTATAGTGAAATTCGAGTTCCTGGTTTGATTTAAATAAGCTTACTTGTGAGGCATCTCCAAACAAAATGATGTTAATTCAAATGTTATCTACCCATGAAAGAGATCAGAGTGTGTTGTGTGTGTAGGTCAGTGTGGAAGGGAAGAGGTTGTGGGGCAAGCCCCTTACCTGCTTCCTATAATAACTAAAAAAAATATAACTCGTAATCAACATGTTGTTAATATAAACAATGTGTCATTTCCCCCTGAAAAGGACCAATATATGTATGTGAGAGAGAACATGAAGGGGGAGGCTACTGGGAAAGCCACTTACCTGCTTCCTGTAACAACTGAAAAATACAACTAGTAATTTTATTTGAGATTGCAGCTTTTCCTTCCAGGTGATTCTTCCTGGCTGCATTTCCTGCTGTAATCTGGTCCTTGGACTGCAGGAGGACTTTTCCTGGACTATCTAACAATTCATAGACTTCTTTTGTTTTACCCTCATAGAGTTTTTTACCAACGTTCAGTACTGTGGAAACAGAATGGAAACATCATATTTCAGGAAGGATTTTCCTAAATATTGAATACTAAATACTTAGAATGACAAATCAGTGAACACACAGCATAGTTAAGTAATAATTTTAATAAAAAATAAACTCATCTTCATAGAAGACTATACTCTACAAAGTATTTTCACATGCATCATCACATTTAACACAACTTTGTGAAGAACTATTATGTAAATAGTTACAGAGATTAGGAGTAAATAATTACAGAGATTAGGAAAGACTATCAAAAAGTTAGAGGTCATGCAGTTAGGAAATGGCAGAGCCGGACAAAATTCTAATCTCTGATATCAAATCCTGTGGTTTTTCCACTATCAACCAGACTCATAGCAGAAAATGAAGGAGAATTAAGATCCATTAAAACTAATGTAAATATACTAGTATTTTCACATACATACTTACAGTACAATAACTAAACTAGTGTGTGGGGGTGAAGTGGGATGCTTTCTTTTTCCCGACTTCTGCTTTCCGTGGCAGGCGAAACAGAAAAATACAGCCAGGTGGGCTGACTCAAGGTAATGTGTCAGAGGAGGCACCTCCACCCCACCCCCACCCC